TTTGTGCAAAACAATGCAACAGAGAAGCTGGGCTGGCAAACTTCTTCTGGATTGGAACAGCTTATTTGTGACGGGCCACAACAGCTGCTGGGTGGCTTCTTTCCAAATGTTTATCTCGGGATTGTAAAAAATGCCACTGATATTGCAAAAAGGGTGAGGATGCCTTAAAAGGGGAGCAGACGAGGTGGTTGAGGTAGAGGAGGTTCTTAGAGTTGAACAGTGGCTTGCGAAGTGTGAGTGCAGCAGAAGGAAGCTCCCTTGGGCCCTCTGCATCTTCTGGGGATTCAACACACACACACAGAGCCCTTTACTTTTGCGTTTGTTGATTGCTTTGGACAAAGAGAAAGAAGGGGAGAAGTCCCCCTTTGGCTTCTGGCCCCACCCACTGCTGCCGCCCCCCACTCCCACCCCACCTAGCATGCAACTATCTCCCACTAGTTGTCCCAGAGAGAAAGAAGATGCTGACCTGGGCCCAGTGAGCTGAATGGCTGAGGACCAAACACAGAAGAGGAATTAGAGACAAATCTCAGCGACCTGCTTATTCTGTCTGAAAAGGCCAGGATGGGCAGCTATTTTTAGCCCAGGACAGACTTTCTGTCTGTGTCCTGCCTGGGAGCTGTGTGGTTAGTGGGTGTAAGGATAATGATTTTACTTTTCTTTTCAGTTATATTGATTTTATTGATGCCTTTTAAATTTTGCGTATTGTTTTATTGCTGTGAACTGCTGCTGCTGCTGCTGCTGCTGCAAATACTTAAACAGGAAAAGAGGGTAGTTTAAAAATGCATGCCTTGCCAGAGTGAGGGCAGAATATTTGGGCCAGGTGCGCATGTGGGGTCCCTCTCATGCTGTGCTCGGAGGGGAGATAACAAGGGAGCTTTAAGCTTTGTCAAACTTCAGGAACAATTGTTTCTTTCACACCCCTCAACCCACCAGAGATACACAAAGTCCTGCCAAAGTAGAGTTTGTCCCCAAGCGATCTAGGGGCCACAGGGAACCGCCACTGACATCAAGCTGCATTACAGTGAGATCCTCAGGTCGCAAGTGAGGCATGATGGCCTTTCTGCCCGAACTGGGCACTTTTGTTCCAGGGTGGATGCAACTGAGCTGCGTCGTGGTTGCCTGACATGGTTTCCGAGGCTTAGGTCGTTCTCCACCCGGTTCAGGCTTCTCTGCTTTCTGCTTACTCACCTGAAGCCCCTCCAGCCCAGAGAGGTCAATGACTCCTTGCTCTGTGGCTGGAGAAGAACTTGAAGAGGGACACTTGATTTGGGGGGAACCAGTTTCTCGCTCCCTGCAGTACCAAAGTGGGGAGAAGATGGTCAACGTTCTGCCTTCCGCCCAGCTCTTTCCAAAGGAAGGGGCTGTGGCAAGAACGGGAAAGCCTGAGGGGCCCCCGGCCTCTGGCTGTTCCTCCGGAAGATTTGGCAACTCTTCTGGACTCCGGTGGAGGAGCAAGGCTTCCACTGCAGAGAGGCGTGATAGAAATTAGGGGGTCCCACCCACCTGGCAAGCCTCCTGGCTAGGGAGCCCTTCTGCACACACTGCATAATTGGATTGTTTACCTGCTGCTCTTCCAGGAAGGAGGAGAGGTGTCACCAGGTGGTTCTTGTTTTATTTTCTCTGCCTGAGGCGCACAGGGGGCCTTGGGAAGGCAAGCTGTCAGAGCCGGCTCCATGGTCCTGCTCACCAAACTGGGGACCAGCCCGTCTCGGCTTTATGTGGTCGGCAGGATCCAATGGTGAGCCTTTTCTCTGGCTGCTGAGATCACCCTGCAGACGGAGGGCCTCTCCCTGGGGATGCTCTCCCATGGGGGGGACCCCAGCCCAGTGTCACCACAGAGGAAAACAAAGCGAGAGGGCTGTCCCCCCCCCGCAGCTGCCCAGGTGTCTTGCAGTCAGTTTTGCAGGAGGGGGAAAGGGCTGCCTTTGTAATTTTGGGGTGGGGAGACCAGGAGGGGCTGGACTCACAGAATGGGCGGAAGAAAAAGAATGTTTTAAACGTGGCTTTAGAGCTTATATTAAGGTTTTTCTGTGTTTTGATACTACAATATAAGAGGAAATAGTCTTGCAGGTTTTCAGTGGTTATGCTCAGAGGAGAAACTGGGGGGGGGGGAGGCTATAGCTTGACTCTCTGTGTTGTAGAGAAATATTTAGAAATAGCAATTTGGCCTTGAAACAAATGATCTGGTTGAGTAGAAGAGGCTGCATAACCGTTGCATTGCAGTATTATTCAGTGGTTTTATTTATCATTTTATTATACAGATTTGCTTCCCACTTTATAATTGTAGGGTTTTCTGGGTGCCTCCTGAGTTGAACAAATACAAAATAGTTTTTAAAAGTTGCAGGACTTAATCCTAGACAAATAGAAAGGATCTTTTCTTGGCTCAAACAGGTATCCAGCTTTGGGACAGCAAACCTGGATAGGTAGACCCTCCATAATCATCAGGATGGGGTGCAGAACAGCCAAGAAGGTGTTTTTTCTGCTCACTCCTCAGGTTCTTCCTGAAATCTGATCAACCCCATACAGAATCTAATCTTGAGGGATGCCTTTAAAGCAGCGCTATTCAATCTTGACGGCTTTAAGATAGGTGGACCTGGGAGTTGAAGTCCACCCATCCTAAGGTTGCCAAAGTTCAGAAATGCTGCTTTAAAGATCAGTTCCATCCTGAAGTGGATTTTGTGAGATCCTCCTGATTGCCAGAGCCCTGACTCGCCCTGCAAGGACTCCGCTGATGTCATCCTTCCTCTCTGAGGTCCTTGCTGTCAAGAAGAGGCCCGAGCAGTGAATGGGTGACCCATCTGATGCCAACCCGGGGTGGGTGGGAGAGGAGCTCGCTCAGCTGCCTCACAACGGGATGATCTCCTGGCTGCCATCACTCAGCTTTCAGTCGGGAGCTGAGGGTGTCAGGAACAGGAACTGTCAAGAATGTTGGCTGGATTTCAGAGCCAGACATTTGCAAGTGTAAATCTGGATTTACACCCGGTCTCAAATGTGATTAAGATAAGTTAGGCTGGTGGGATGGTAGCAAGAAATCCTTTGCTAGTATTTGTCAGGTTGTGTCTGCAAGCCTGACAGGGCAAAAGCAAGGAAAGATTCCCCCTGTTCGCGTGATGGCCCAGGGGACCAACGAATTGTCTGCAACCATTCTTTGTGATCTCATGCTGCAATTTTGCAGGTGCTGCAGAATAGGATGGCCACCAGCAGTCGTCCTAGGGAAGTGGCTTCAGAAGAGGCAAGTTCCTGTAGGGCCTAGCCAGAATTCTTCGTGGTGGACCCATCCTACAAAACCTGAGGCTGAAGCTTTGTCCCTCTGAGATAAGGGGGTTCTTCCACCATTCTGTCTGCTCTGTTCATTGATGGCTCCAACTTGGCTGCCTTGTACATAAGCCTTTCAGCTTTATTGAGGAGAGCAGACATTGCCATTGATAATCAGATCTAGAAAGCATTCTGTATCTAGTGTCCATGGGACGTGAGGAGTGGCAGCTCACACAACACACAACTAGCACAGATTTGTGAACCTGGATCCCAGAACCTCTGGAAGTCGGGCTTCAACTACCAAGTGGCTGCATAGACGAGTGAATAACCTTACAGTCCAAATATTGGACAAAGGGAGAAATAGCAGAAAATGGGCTGCTTAGACCTGGATTTTAGTTTCCTTTTGGAGGATGTCTCTAAATGAAGTTTTTTAAAAAACTGAATTGATCATTTAATTTAAACAAAATTCTCACCAAAATTATGGGGAAAGAAATTTGGGGAACAATGACTGAAGTTTTCTTCCTTTGAATTTATCCAAAGAACTGAATTTATACATTGTCCAGGAGAAAATCACCATCCACTCTTCTTTAGCATTAACAGCAACAGTAGACAGTGGCATTTTCTAGAAAAAAGCTTCCTGGGAGTCCCCTCACCCCCCCCCCCCCCGCCAACTTTCCTTGGGATTTTTGGAAACTGTGAAAAGCTGGGGGGGGGGGGAGGAAAACCTCCAGGCATGCAAACCCAGCCCTTGTCTACCTCATTGCTAAGTGCAGGAATCCCAGATGTCACCAAAAGCATTTTCTCCTTTTCACATGTGAAATCAGGTTCTCTTTCATCAAATTAAGTGAAAATAGGAGGGACAAATTCAGGACAATTTCTCTGCTTGGCACTAACTAACAGAGCTTTAAGAAACAAGATACTCTTGAGATTGGGTGTAGGATCCCACTATCTAAAAAACAAAGGAAATCCTACCGAAGTGTCCCTTGAAACATCTTGTGGCAGAATAAGCTTATCCCCCTGCAGGCAGTAAACAAAAGCCCCTGGTTCCAGTTTCCCAGACTCCAGAAGGCCTTCCTTCCTTCCTTTCTTTTCTCCTCTCCGCTTCTGGCTCTTCTGCATTATGCCCAATCCCGAAAGTGCAAAGCCAGCCCTTCCGGTCAGAGCATCCCCCCTCCCAAAACACAAAGATTGTATGTCCTTAAACCATTGGTTTGCTGCCAGTAGCACCCTCAGCCTTTTAGACAGTTAGAAAGAGATTTGCCAGAGGGAATTAATCTAGTAGGACAAATTCTCCTCAATTAAGAAAAGAGTGACAGAGGCTTGCCTGAAGCCTTGCTCTGAGTTGGAGAATTCATCTTTGACCAGGGTCATTTTCAGTCTTTGAGGCCATGGGAGAAATGGACGGTTGGTCCCCCCAAAGCACACGGGGGTAGCTTTTCCACCAGCAGTCCTGCAAAGGACCATCTGCATTGCAGGGACTTTTTCAGGGGGTGGAAGAAGAAGCAAGAGAACGTAGATGGCAGATTTCAAAAAGATGTGTTGCAGTTATGAAGTATGGAATGAAGTGGCAAGTTTGAAATGTGAAATGAAAGGCAATATGGCCAGGGAATACTTTCTTTACATGAATTAAATCTCCAGGAAAAGATTATCCTAGGATACAGAAGGAAAATTGCTGAGGGTCTGTTGACCCTTTAAGAACTCTCGAATGACTACAGGTAGGCAAATGTTGCCTCTTTTCTTTCCAGGAGGCTTCAAGGACCCCTGGATAATTAGTCTGACCAATACCTGGAAAGGTTCTAGAGCAGATCATAGAGAAATTGACAGTAAGGACCTGGAAAATTATGCAGCGCCAGAGGTCAACATGGATTTGCTAAGATCAACTCTTCCCTTTTAGGGTTTTGATTGGGTAACTTCCAAAATAGGTTGTGGGAATTATATAAGCATAAAATATCTTGTTTTCAGTCGTTCACATATTTTGATTGACAAGCTAGTTGAATATGAGCTGGATGACACAGCAACTAAGTGGGCTGGAAAATTGTACCTGGAATTTGCTCAGCCTGAATCCTCATTAGGCTGGAGAGGATGCAAGTCAGGTGTGCTCTTCAACTTTTTTTGTAATGACTTGGAGTGCACCTCCAGGTGCACCTCCATTGCTCAGATGACACAAAATTGGATAATAGAAAACAAATTAAAATTAAATTTATCTTGACATGTTAAAAGAATAACAGTGAAGTGCTATGGAAACAAATACATCAGACTTCACTTAAAGGAAGAAATCAAATGTCAGAGTGGGGGATAAAGGGTGCAGCCAAAATACATGTGAAAAAAGAACTGAGAAAGGGGACGATCCTTGCGACCTCTGCAAGTGTTCTTCTTCTGTCTTTCCAAGAAAGGTGATGTTGGTGTTGGCAATTCCATCCTGTAATGGACATCAGGAAGAGGCTGTTTGGTTCTTGCTTTCCTTTCTGGCAGGTTAAAAACACACAGGAGTGATTAACAAATTAAAAACAGGAGCTTTCGTGAGCTGCCCCTTTGTTTCCTTCTGACCTTCTGCTTAAGGCACCCAACGTGAGTCCTATCTAAAAAAGAAAGAAAGAAGAGGAAATAGGGCTTAGATTAAACATTTTATGCAAGACAAATAAAAATGAAAAACAACTTGGATGCCTTTTCATCTTTGGTCTAGCAGTTTTTTCCCCTCAGTTTGCACCCTTATTGTTACTGTGCCTCAGTTTTTGCTTTCATGTTGTTCTTTATTTTTCCATAGCCATTTGGGGCTAATTTGAACCAGACTGCAGACAGTTTACATGAATCTGTTGCTTTGCAGGAGCCCCTGGTTAGAGGTTTTGGTTTCAAGCAGTGGCCCAGGTCAGAGGGATTGGTGGGGTAGAAGGGCTCGCTTGGTGGGGGGACATTTGTCTTCAATTAAGAAACAGCCTTTGCTGCATCAAGGCTGCTGGTGACAACTTAGAGCAATGGCTTAGAGGTACTTGCCTGAACTTTCACTTGCATAGAACAATATCCTGGTATAATGTGCTTTAAAAGAGGCAAATCTCCCAAATATAATTGCTTTCTCCAATCTGAAGATGTTTGGTTAGGAGGGACTCTGTGTGGGCAAAGTACATCCTCCCAGCCACCTCTCCATCCCCAACTTTTATGCAAACCTCCTGCCATTTCTCCAGAAAGAAGTCACCTGGCTGGCTTGCAGCCTGGAGGGTTTTTTATGATATTTGAATGAGCTAAGGCAGGGGTAGGCAACCCAAAACACTCAAAGAGCCACTTGGACGCGTTTCCCACCGAAAACAAAACACTGGGAGCCGCAAAACCCTTTTGATATCTAAAATGAAGATAACACTGCATATATCCTTTTTACCACTATCTTTTTTACTTACACACACACACATATCATAAAGATAAAAAAGGATATATGCAGTGTTATCTTCATTTTAGATGTCAAAAGGGTCTCTCTCTGTCTCTCTCTCCCCCCTCTCTCCTTCTCCCTCTCTCTTTCTGCCCTTGATCTGCCAGTCCTCTTCCCCCCCTCTCTCTCTCCTCTCTTTTTCTCTTTCTCCCTCTTTCTCTCTTTCCTCTTCCTCTCTCTCTCTCTTTTTCCTCTCCCTCTTTCTATTTTTCTCTTTCCTCTCTCTCTCTTTCTCTCCCTCTCTCTCTTTCTCTCTCTCTCTCTCTCTCTGCCTCTCTCCGATCTTCTGCTCACCTGGCAAGCTGGCTTCAAGCTGTTCTCCAACAAGTTCAGGGGTAGGCAACCTCGGCTCTTTTATGACTCATGGACTTCAACTCCCAGAATTCCTGAACCAGCATAGTTGGGCTTGCTAGCTCTCTCCTGCCCTTCCTGCTTCCTGCTTCCTGCAGAGACGCAGCCAAAGGAGAAGCCCCGCCCAGTAAGCTTTTCAGCTCTTCGGAGAACACCATGAGTCCGCTTTCTTTTTCACTTACACAGAGAGAGAGAGAGAGAGAGAGAGAGAGAGAGAGAGAGAGAGAAGGGAAGCTCAAGTGCCTCTCTCTGTCTCTATCTCTGTCTCTGTCTCTCTCTGCGAATGGCAGAGGAGGCTGGGAGCCGCAGGGGAAGGCTCAAAGAGCCACATGCGGCTCCGGAGCCGCAGGTTGCCGACCTGTGATCTAGAGGATAATCTTAAACTTCATTGAATAAAAGTGATGGCACAATCAATCTACAAGGATGCATGACTTATGAATAAGCCATATGAGAAACTTTACAATACTGTATAATGAAATATTTTGTTCATATGATTTATGAAAATAAATGTTTGAAAATGTTAATTTATTCTCACCAATGCTAAGAGTTTGTGGATGAAAGTTAAAACTTGTGATAGATGAGTGCATATTTTTTATTTTTCACTTTTGAATTATTTCTAGAGAATAGTAGTAAAAATGCTCCCAGATTTCACAAAATGTCCATTACTGTTATTTTATCTCCAAAAATAATATTGAAATACACATGATTTTTTTATGCCCTAAAAAACCACAAGAGCCTTTTGTACCATGTTAAGGCCCATGTTCCAAAGTGATAACAGCCACATATGACCTGGCAAGTTTTCAGGACTTTCAAATAGATGCTTTATCTAAACTTTGTGTCTCATCTACTTTGCATATGAGTTTCAAAATAGATCCCAATGAGTGGCACACAAATATTGGGCATAATTTTTATATTCCTGTCTTCCACAGATAAAAAGAACTACTGATACTTATTAGTCATGTTAAATGGGATTAGATTTAGATCAAACTATTGCCTACTAGGTCAAACAGTTTCTTCATCACTAATTCCAGTGAGGTACAAAGAAGTTTTTTTAATCAAACTGACTTGGACTAGCAATCATTTCCCAGAAAGAATCTATTTCACCCACAGGTGTGGTGGCTCACTTGATGAGGCTTATCTTCACATCTTCACATCTTCACATCCCCATTCATCCAGCTCACCGCCGGTTCCTGAGGTTTGGTTACAAGGGCAAACACTTTCAATGCAGGGCCCTCCCCTTTCGGTCTTTCGTCGGCTCCCAGGGTATTCACAAAAATCCTGGCCGTCCTGGCAGCCCAGTTGAGGAAGGTTCCCATTCGCGTCCAATGCTACCTGGACGACATCCTGATTCNGTGGAAATCATTTTGAAAATGGCTTCTCTCCCTCTGTCAGCCCTTTTTAAAAAAAATTTGCAAGCATCAGGGTCTTCTCCACTGACTCCAAATTTTGCATTGTGCCTGCAAAGTCTTTCAGTTTCAGCTTTATCCTCCCAGCGAGAGCCTCTTTTGACTTTGTCCAGCCTCGGGTGGTTTGGCCCTCTGATCGTCCAAGGTGCTGTCAGCCGTTTTCTCCAGCGCCATAGTTTAGTCAGTGTCTTCCTTCTTCCTTTGTCGGCTTTTCTGATGCTCCGGCATTCACAGCCAGGCATTACAGCTGGGAAAACCTTGGCCTGGACAGCAACTAATTTTGTTGCAATCTGAGGCTTCTGCACTTCAGTATTTGCCCAGAGTTGCCATAGTCTTTCTCCCAAGCAAGAGACCTCTCCTTATTCCAGTCACCACCCCGGTGAAGTTTTCACCCCAGGAAGACAAAGTCTGCCGCTTGTTCAACTTCCTCTCTGTCCATTTGCATGGAGGGGGCATTGCTGTCGAGAGACGCTAAAGGCTTTTTAAATGCTGAGCAACAGGCCGGCTTTGGCCCTCTCCCTTCCACCCATAAGAAGAGAGCGGAGGTCTCCCTCGCTTCCAGCCATCCAGGTAACGTCGTCAGCATCTCTGAGCCTGTTGAAGTTTTCCCAGCAGTTTAATCCCAATTTCTGATTCTTCTGATTCAGAATTTTGGCGCGTGATATAAACAAAGTGGCAGTGAACAATCTTGGCCTTTCCCCGTTTTTAATTGTTCAATGTTCCATTTTATGACTTGAGCTGCTTCCTGTAGTCATGCAGCTCTTTCAGGAGGCAGGTGAGATAGCGCTGGGCATCCAGAGTTTAAAGGCCTGCAAAAAGCCTTTGTATAATCAATAAGGCAAAAACAGATTTTGTTTTGGAACTCCCTAACCTTTTCCATTATCAGATGTTAGCAAAATTATCTCAGGTGTTCCTGTCTTTTCTTACTGCAAGTTCTCCATTCTTCTACACTGTCCTGTATTTGCCATCCCGGTTTGAAATTTTGAAACAAATATATTCAGAAAAAACTCATCCTGAGCTAATAGAAAATAGGAATTATGTGGAATTAGAACAAATTTCTCATTGAGACCTGGTCTGGGTGGTGGAGACCCCAATATGCCATGCATGCCTCTTTTCACACTATCCATAATGAGACAAGTACATAGTCTCCCTCTTTCTCTCACTCTCTCCCCCTCTCTCTCCCTCTCTCTTTCTCTCCCTCTCTCTTTCTCTTTCTCCCTCTCTCTCTGTTTCTCTCTTTCTTTCTCTCCCTCTCTCTCCCCCTCTCTCCCTCTCTCTCTCTCCCTCTCTCTCTTTCTCTCCCTCCTCTCTTTCTCTCCCTCTCTCTTTCTCTTTCTCCCTCTCTCTCTCTCTCTCTCTCTCTCTCTCTCTCTCTCTCTTTTTCTCTCTCTCTCTCTTTTTCTCTCTCTCTCTCACACACACACATACACACACAGAGAGAGGGAGGGAGGGAGGGAGGGAGTAAACCTTAATTCTGCCAAACCAATTTTGCAGCATGGCCTTGATTTGTAAGGTGCTTTTAAAGGGGATGACTCCAGGCCCAGCAGTTGGCTTGATAGGAGGGCCTGAAGGATGCCAGCTCAGCTGGAAGGGACAGAGCTTCCTGGAAGCTGGGAGGGGGGGATGGTGGGGAAATTTTCTGGGCATGGGTGACTTAGGAGGAGCCTCCTTATGCTGTCCTGTGGCGGCAAGCGTATGAATTGGCTGGAAATTATCCAAGGAGAGAAGCAGCCTAGAACTAAGGATAAATTTCCTAACGGTAAGAACAATCAACCAGTGGAACGGTTTGCCCTCAGAAATTGTGGGTGCACCATCACTGGAGGCTTTCAAGAAGAGACTGGACAGCGATTTGCCTGACATGATAGCGGGTCTCGTACTCGAGCAGGTGGTAGGACTAGAACAGAGTTCCCCAACCTTTTGGGGTTGGTGGCCCAGAGCAGGGGGAGGGGGAAAAGAAGCGATGGTTTTGGGGTGTGTGTGTGAACGCATGCGTGTGCACGAACATCCATTGCTCGCATGAGTGGGGCTGTGAGCGCTCGTGTGAGTGGGGCTGCGAAAGCCCACAATGCGGTGATGCTCATGCGACTGGGGCTGTGCATGTGCACACACACGCATGCACCAACCAGCCACTCATGACACTCGGTGGCCAATAGGCCGTGGCCCAGTAGTGGGCCACGGCCCACAGGTTGGGCACTCCTGGACTAGAAGACCTCCAAAGTTCCTTCCAACTCTATTCTATGTTCTATGAATGACTGTATCTCCAATTGGTTTTCTTGGCCATTGGGATATTGTTTCAACTTGCCAGTCCTGGAATCTCCTGGTGGTCTCCTCCCTAAATCCCAGCCAGGCTGAACCAGCTGAGTTTTTTGAGATCTACCAAGTTGGGCTGGTGCTGCTCCTTAGCCAGTCAAATCTTAGTTTTACATGATTTATTTTTCAGGAGAAAGAATTGCACAACTCAGTGATGAGCGAAATACTTGTGAAGTAGGTAGTCCAGCCCCCTTTGAATGCTGCTGATATTTCTCTAAGTCTAAACAGGTGATGACTTTAGTTGAGAAGATTTCTGTGCAGAGACTTAGGCAATAAATCAGTTTTAACTGAACCTTCATGTATGGATCTGATCTGTATATCTGACACTTAGATAATTAGGACTGGTGCTGAGAACTAGACTCCTCTTTTCTGTCAGGCCAAGAGGTACACAGTATGTTAGTTTTTGCAATGGATGTGGATTTTCTATTTTTCTTGCTTTTCTTGTAGGGGGAGCTTTAGATATTTTAACTACATTTTAATCCTATTGTAAACTATAGCTCCTTCGTGTTTCCTGAATGAAAGTGGGAGAAAGCTACACTGAGTCAGCTGCAGAGTGTTGCCTAGGATTTCACCAAAGGAGACTTCAGAGCAGCACATAAAACTTTCAGATGGCTGTTTGCTCACTGCAGGGTGAAAGGAAGAGAACTGGGGGCCCAGAGAATGGAGACCCAGAGTGGGTAACGTTCTTGATTCCAAAGATCCATTTCTGATCCTGAGTATTTGTATAGCATCCTCTCTGCTCCTCACAGAACATTTATGCTTCCTGGGTTCAATGCTCCACCCATAGCAGTTCTGGAAGGGCCGTCTAGGATCGGATCCACTCCATGTGAAGGGTGTACTTGAACCGACATGGAGTGCTTTGCTGAATAACTCAATTTTCCCCTGCTTGGTGCTCTGAATCAATATCACCCTCCCTTGCTGATCGCTGTGGCTGCTCGATGGAAGAAGAGGCTTCCTTATTAGCGGATAAATCTGCAGAATCAAACAAGTTGCACAATGTTATTTTTTTTTTTTTTTTTTTTTTTTATTATAAATAAAAAATAATAAAAAAAATTTTTGAAAGAAAAAAAAAACAAGTTGCACAATGGTGTTTAGTCGTGATGTCTGTAAGGAGCCTTATGGGATAAACAAAATTTGGTATATTTCTTTTCATATTATAAGGCAAATATATGTAGCTTTTCATAGTTCAGTTTTTCTACATGTTTCATTGTTCTATGGAAGTTTGGTCTGTGCCTGTAAATAAACCAGCCCCCTGAATGGGGCTTTTCCCCTTCCCTCTGACGGATCAAAAATGCCTTCTCTGTTTCCCCATTTTGCTTAGGGGGCAGCCTCGGCCGTGGTCTCTTGCGGCTCTTCTTCCACATACCGTAAGGCGCAGGGAGGCCTACCTGGTTTTATCCTTTTGTCATTTAGGAAGCCCCCCCCCCCAGATGCATTCTGTCAGGTCGGGGGATTGGACAATTGATTTTATGCTTCCTCCCATTGACTCCGTTTATACTCTGTCCTCCTGGCCCTTGGGGTGGGTAGGCAGGTCTTACTTGGAGCAAGGCGCTTCCTCACTGCTCCTTATTGTTACCAAAGAAGAAGAAAAAAGTGCCTTTTTCTCCCCCCCCCTCCCAATCCAGGATGTGAATGGGCAGGCCAAGGAGCCTTTGGGGCCCCGACTTTGCCATCTGAAGAAAGGGCCCAATGGCTACGGGTTCAACCTGCACAGCGAGAAGTCCCGGCCTGGACAGTTCATCCGCTCGGTGGATCTGGATTCCCCGGCATCCAAGGCGGGTCTACGGCCACAAGACAGACTCGTGGAGGTAAGGAGGGGATCTGGGAAGCAGGTGAAGGATCCTGCTACTTGGAGGGGAATTCACCCAACATTATTGCCGGCCTGATTTGCAAGACACCTTTGAGATATTTTTTGCTCACTCTGTTGATGCAACATCATCTTTAGCAAGTGGAAGGCGAAGGGAGCCAAAGCCAAAGTTGGCATCAAGTGAAAGCTTTGGCTTTACAGGATTATTTATTTATTTTGTCAAATTTCCACACTGCCCGTCTCATCAAAGTGTCTCGGGGCGGTTTACAATAAAAACATACAGTCAGTGGTGGGATTCAGATAGGTGAACCACCGATTCTCTGTGTGGATGCCGCTTCCGGAAGTCCATTCTGGGCCTGGGCAACAAAAAATTAGCTACCGGTTCTGCCGAAGTGGTGCGAACCGGCTGAATCCCACCACTGCATACAGTGGTGTAAAAAGCATAGTTAAAAAAACGAAAGTAAACACAGAATGAAGAACAAGGTTAAAACGAGACTGTTAAAAAGTTAAAAGAGGAGGCACAGGGAACGCCCTCAAGTCTCCCTTTCCAAGGAATAGGTCCGGAAGGGCTGGCGTCTCATTCCCCGTCTGCGAGAGAGAAGCCCGGCAGGAGCGGACGCAGAAGAGGAGGCCCTGGGCTGGGGCCACCTTCCACGGGGGGTGGGGGGTCCTGGGGGCTCTCTGAACTGGTTTGCTTGTAGATGTTTCATTACCCAACTAGTTACAGGTAATCCTCAACCCAAAACTGCGGTGGAGCCTGTCCATTACAGTCGTAGGTCATGACAGTTGTAAAACGAGCCATTCATATAACTGATGCAATTTTATGAGCTTTTCTGCAGCGGTCATTAAGTGAATATGGTGGTTGTAAAGTGAACGCCATGGCTGTTAAGCAAACCGGACGTTGCAGGCAGTCCTCTACTAATGACCACAATTGAGCCCCAGATTTCCACTGCTAAGCAAGACAGTTGTTAAGTGCCTCATGCCTCATTTTATGACCTTTATTACCACAGTTATTAAGCCAGTCACTGCAGTTGTTAAGCGAATCTGGCTTCCCCCAGGATGACTTCACTTGTCGGAAGCCGGTTGGGGAAGTCACCAACGGTGGTCGTGGGACCCCAGGATGCCGCAATTGTCGTACGTGTGAAAACCGGTCATAAGTTACTTTCTTCAAACAGTTGTTAAATGAATGGTTGTAAGTGGAGGACTACCTGTATTCAGCTGAGCCACAGCAAAACATGGTCACCTGACTGCGAGTTGCTGCAAAGGCGGCTGTGTTGCCGAGCGCCTCAAGCGCAGTCATGTGACTCTGGGGGGAGGGGTGGGCGACCGTTAGAACTCTGGAACTGGTGCAGGTAAGGAAACGTCTGAAAGTGAACCCCAAGCTTGGAGAGCCCCAAGAATCCCCCGATTCAATCCTGAGCTGCGGAGACGCCCGTCCGTTCGCGCCCTTCTCTGGGGCAGCTCTTGTGGGGCACCCCAGAAAAGGCTCTTTCGGACCGTTTCCTGGTTCCTGAGTCGGCCCTGGATGTCTGAGAGGGGAGAGAAAGAGAAGCCCTCCTTTTCTGCCCGTTGTCGGCCTCTGTTAATTAATTCAGCACGCCTGGCGCATTTCCCAGGCGCATAAATGGACCCGGTGACCTGCAGAGTCGCCACCCGATCCAGGGTGCCTCCTGCTCTCCGGGACTGGCATCAATGTTTGATGGGCCGCTCCTCCGGTTGGGGGGGTTGGCGGGGCGGGGGAGTGGCTGGGGAGGGGGGAGGGAGGGGCGGCTTTCTCCTATTTGCTCTTTTGGCCCCTTCGGTTCCCCTCAGCCTCCTGCAGCCCCCCCGGGCCACCTGTTTAAACACTGCAGGCAAAAGGATGCCGGGAGGGGAGAAGGGCTGGCAGCATCTCCAGGGCTGCGTCTGGAGAGGGTCCTGCCCCCCTTCCCCGCTGATCACTTGAAGGGAAGGGAGGGAGCCAGAGCAGCCGATGAGAGTGGGCTGGAAATGGAGGCTGGCTGAGAGGGGGCGGGCCAGAAGGTTGAGGTCTTGCTGGAATCCCCCAGCACAACCAGTAATGAACCTTGGGGGTATTTGCAACTCAGGTCCCGTGTTCCCATCTCCTCCCAAAGAAGAGATGGTGGGCATTCAACAGGTGCAGCCTTGCCCAGGTATGGTGATAGCAGCAGCTGCACGGCTTCATTTAACAGATCTTCCCTCCTCTGTTCCCTCCTCACAGCATGTTACTTATTATATGTTATTCTGCATTTGCTGTTTTTGATCACATGAGGTGCACTAGATCAGGGCTTTTCAACCTTTTCACCCATTGTACCACTTTTAGGATATGGCAACATCCGAGTACCACGTCACCTAGCAAGGTGTCAAAAACTTGATGACCCCCCCAAAAAAACAACGAAAAAACTGATGAAGTACAGGTAGTCCTCGATTTACAACAGTTCGCTTAGTGACTGTTCGAAGTTATAATGGCACTGAAAAAAGTACCCCCCAAGCCACAGCCGAGCAAGACACCTGCCTGCCCACCCAGCGGCACTCTTCCTCCTGTCCGAGGTTTTCACTGTTGTGAGCATTTCTGTTGAGGATTGGCAGTGGGAGTGGGGTGGGGGGGTCTTTGGTTTTTATTCCCCCAATCTGCTGGGTGGCTGCAGAGGTTTTGGTCACTTCACATGACCCTGGGACACTGTGACCGTCATAAATATGAATCAGTTGCCAAGCATCTGAATGTAAATCACAAGACCCTGGAGATGCTGCAACATTCCAGCTGATCGGCGCTTCTTGGCACAGAAGTGCCAGGATCAGCGCTGAGCTCCAGCTGGAGCCTGGCGCTGATCCTGGTGCTTCCACTGAACCCTGACAGCCCCGAAGAAGCGCCGATCAGCTGGAAAGTGGCACTGATCCTGGCGCTTCCGCTGAGCCCTGACAGCCCTGCAGCTCCAGCCGTCTCTCGCTCAGGCTTGTGCGGTGCTGCCACCGGTTCAGCTCATTCCCCTCCCCCGCTACCACTTTTCTAGGATGGTTGTGTACCACCTGCCAGGTGCCAATGTACCACAGGTGGTACCCGTACCACTGGTTGAAAAGCCTAGCACTAGATCAGGAAACACGCCCCATAGGATGAGCAGAACTCCACTTGATTGGGAATGGCTAGAATACCTTGTGGGCCTGATTCTGCTTCTCCTCCCATCTTCCCATCCTCTTTCACTGCATGGGGGTCAGCCCGAGTCCCTTCCTAAGGCTCTCTGCCTTCCCAGGGCTTAGGCAATGCCTCCAGCCTCTGGCTCTTGAATATTTGCCACCGCCCTGGCTCTCTCTGGCATGGATGTGCCTCTGGTTTCTCCCTCTGAACAACCCAAACTGGGCTCTTATTTACAATGAAAAGGAAAAGGAAGGAAGGAAGGAAGGAAGGAAGGAAGGAAGGAAGGAAGGAAGGAAAGAAAAGAGAGAGGGGGGGCTCATTATTTGCTTCAGAGTGGAAGAAAAGAATAGGCAATTAAGCAGCACTTCTGACAAAAGGTTTTATTGGGTCCTGATTCAGATCAGATTAGGAGAACCTTCTCAATTTGTAGCTTCACAGCCTCCAGATCTCCAGAATAAATGTGCCCAGATGAAACGTGTGTTGAAATGCATGACTAATTTCTCATGTAGTTTATTCCTTCTGGAAACTTAGATTTTCTCCCAAAGGCCTCCCTGCATGCAGGAAAGAGTAGCACACCGCTTGATTAATGATCGGTTGCTTTCCACTTTGAGGGGTTATTTAGCCTCTGCCCATAGACAAAGGGGCTTCATTATTCTGCCTGACAAATGGACAGCCTCCTGGGGCAAATTTTGCCTTCATCCTCATTTACAGTCCTCTGAGCATAGCAGAGCTGGTCTGATCCTTTGTCCTGCGTAAAATAATGTGCATATACTGTATGCGTGTGACACATACACAGAGAGACACTATATTTTTTTTTGCCTCTAAAAAATTAAACTATAGCTGGGAGCTGGTTTTCTTTCAGATTCTGGCATCCAGCTTCTTGCTGTGGTTGAGAGCTGTGTGGGCAGATAATACAGCAAGATCATTGGAATTAAATTAATGTTCCAGGCTACATATTGCATGACAGGGTTGTACGGTCTGGTTGGTTTTTGATTAGCAAGTTGTGAACAAGGTAACTGTGGCTTGTAAGCACTGAGATGGGCAATTGGTTCTTTCGGACCACGGGTGGCTCACCAATATTCCTTCAGTGGCCCCATAATCTCCTCCCTGAGTCTCTGTGTACAAGTGTATTATGGCATATTATGTAATTACAGTTTGGTGAGATGCAGAGAATAGTCCCTTAGTGTTCCATAACTGCATGCTCTGAGGACTTCAGTTCCCAGAATCCCAGAGGGCTCTGTTGCTGGCAGCCCTTTGGATGTCTTGGGAAGAGGAAGCCCCATCAGGGTGACTGATGGAAACTCTCTCTACTCTAAGCTTTATTCTCTCTGGTGAGGCTTTCCTGTTTTGGTTCTGCAGTGATTGGAGCCCCCGGTGCAAAGCACTCGGTTGCCCAAATGTGCAGTTCTTACCAGCTTCTTCCCTTTTGGTTTGGCTACCCTACAGGTCAATGGGATCAATGTGGAAGGCATGAAGCATTCAGAAGTTGTGGCCCACATCAAGTCTAAGGAAAATGAAGCGCGGTTGCTGATAGTGGACCCTGCAACAGATGAATATTTCAAGAAACTTGCTGTCACTCCTGCCGAAGAACACATTCGAGGTGAGGGATGCCCCCAGGAGCCAGCCTCGGGAGAGGAGCAGTTCCTGCTCGTGAGAAAGGCTGTATTCTTGGCACCTCTGCTCTCTTGTAGGTTAACGCTGCTTAACCTCAACCCCCAAATCTATTTTTTAAGGCAAGGACTCAGCCCCGAAGAAGAAATGCAATTGCAGGGTATAACCCAATACTTTGAAAACTTGGCAACTTCCAGATGTGTGGCCTTCAGATCCCAGAATTCTCAGCCGACAATGATTTCTGGGAGATGAAGTCCACATATCTTAAAATTGCTATGTTTGAAAATCACTTGTGTAGTCTAAAACAGGGCTTTTCAACCTTTTCACCCATTGTACCACTTTTAGGATATGGCAACATCCGAGTACCACCAGTCGCCTAGCAAGGTGTCAAAAACTTGATGACCAAAAAAAAAGAAAGGGAAAAAGTGATAAAGTACAGGTAGTCCTCGACTTACAACAGTTCGCTTAGTGACTGTTCGAAGTTACAACGGCACTGAAAAAAGTGCCCCCCAAGCCACAGCTGAGCAAGACACCTGCCTGCCCACCCGGCGGCGCTCTTCCTCCTGTCTGAGGTTTCCATTGTTGTGAGCATTTCTGTTGAGGATTGGCAGCGGGGGTGGGGTGGGGGGTGTGTTTGGTTTTTATTCCCCCCATCTGCTGGGTGGTTGCAGCAGGTTTTGGTCACTTCACGTGACCCTGGGACACTGTGACCGTCATAAATATGAATCCGTTGCCAAGCATCTGAATGTAAAGCACAAGACCCTGGAGATGCTGCAACATTCCAGCTGATCGGCGCTTCTTCTGGGCTCAGCAGTAGCACCAGGATCAGTGCTGCTTTCCAGCTGGAGCCTGGCGCTGATCCTGGCGCTTCCACTGAGCCCTGACAGCCCCAAAGAAGCGCCGATCAGCTGGAAAGCGGCACTGATCCTGGCGCTTCCGCTGAGCCCTGACAGCCCTGCAGCTCCAGCCGTCTCTCGCTCAGGCTTGTGCGGTGCTGCCACCGGTTCAGCTCATTCCCCTCCCCCGCTCCCACTTTTCTAGGATGGTCTCGTACCACCTGCCAGGTGCCCATGTACCACAGGGGGTACCTGTACCACTGGTTGAAAAGCCCTGGTCTAAAAGGCCATGCCATTTTGAGAACTGCAGCTGATAAATGTGCCCAAAGGGGGACCTATAAATGGTTTAGAAGTAAATTAAATCCATCCCTTCCCACTTCTGAGCAGAAAAGCTGTTGTAAACTGGCTGGAAAAAATCCAGAACGTCACGATTGGGCAGCCCCAGAGCTCCAGATGCCTTCAATGGGCAGAACGGGGACCAACATTTCAGCAAAGCCTCTTGGCAGCCACAAGTGAAGTAAACAGATTTTGAAAGCATCCGTGGCTAATTCTTTTAGACTAGAATGGGGAACCCACCCACTAGAATGGGGGCATCTGTGTGTGTGTGTGGGGGGGGGGTGAGGTATCAAACACATTAAGAAAAGGAACGGAACATTGTATGGTTGCAGCTGCCATCTTGCCTTTCTTGACCTCCCTCTTGGGCAGATGCCGAATTATAAGGACAAAATGTGGGGGAGGCATTTTGAGAGTGGACATGGCAGCAGAAGGCCTCCCTTTCCCACACATAACAGTGTCCCAGGAGCTCCCCAACTGGCCCTGTCCCCTCCGGGGCTGCAGCAGGTGTCCGGCTGTCCTTCAGAAGGTTGGACTTGCAAGACCCGGGTCTCAAACAGACCAGCTGCTACAGAGACTCCCTGCTCTTCTTCTCGGGGGGGGGGGGGGGGGGGGGGGGGGGGGGAGAGAGATCGTATCTTCCACCCAACATACATGATTCCACCGCCAATCCTCTCCCCCCCCCCCAGGCAGGCTGAATGGAGAGCTCTGTGTTTTTTAGCACAGCTGTTTCCTATTGAAGTTGCCTGCCCTCTTTTCTGGCTCCAGTGGAAAGAAAGACTCCAAAAGAACAACTTGGAATAATCTGGAGATTTTTGCAGTGGGGGGTGGGGTAGGCGAGGGAGGGAGGGAAGCACTGGTGTTAGATGTTGAGCAGAGGGACAACCAAAGACGGAGACGCTTTCTTCTTGGCTCCATGTAGGAGGAGCCCCCTGTTCTCTTTGCAAGCAGCAGCAGCAGCAGCAGCAGCAGGCAGAGCGCCAGAACCAGCACTAACGCCCAGACCTGCTTTCCAAGCACTGCAGGCCAGGCTCAAATGTGGCCCTTCTTTCTTCTGGGCAAGTGGCTGCGAAGGAGACGGCCGGGCCATCGGGGGAGTTGTCAGCACAGGGAGAGAGGAGAGGGAAGCTTCCTGCAAGATTAAGAAGGTTGGAGGTCGTGATTCTGCAGGTCGCTTCTGGTTGCAGGGGTCTGATGCCAGCTGGGCGCTCAATGGGCATTTGGAGCAGGCAGCATGCCCCGTTTCTGCCTGGGTTGGGTGTGGGCTGGGTTCAGATCACCGGCTCTTCAGGGGAGCGGAAGGGGGACAGGTGAGATTCTGGAGGGCACCCTGGGATGGATCTGAGCTCCCTGCAGTTGGCGAGTTGTTGATTCCAGAACCTGGAGCTTTGCCCACTCTGATTTGGCTGCTGGGTGTTGATGTTCTTGGAAAATCTGTAAGTTCTCAGTAGAGTCAGAACCACGAACTCACCCGGCACAGCTAACACACACAGCCACGTTCGGGCCCCAGCATATCATCACTACAATAAGCAGCAACCCTGATCCATCCTGGGCTTGAGCAGCAGCTGCAACACGGGGCCTGGCCTTGCCAGGCGGCAACTGCACAAACGCAAACCTTCTCCTCCCGCATCGTGCTCCTGATCAAAGCTCCCCCGGAGAGAAACCTTCCTGGGCATCAGGGCAATTGGCCGGAACCTCTTTGAATGTGTGTGTGCATGTTGGGATCAGAATGGGCGAAAGAGAACCTCTCTGCATTTCACGCTAGTCAGTGTAAAGACTTCCCCAAGTTGATTTGAAGAGCGGTGACTGTGTGGACACAGCCACACTCTGCCTGAGAGGCCAGGCAGAGGGGCCCCACCGGCCTCTTTCTGGGCTGGTTGGGTTGGTGGGTTGTTACTTCCCAGTCTAGCTGACCAGTGACTTCCTGGTGGTTCTTTATCCCTGCACTAACCGTTGTGATCTGTTCTCACTTAACGGTGGGCTGTCCTGTGCTGTGATCCAAGGTGGAGCTCTTCTGCTTTTCCACAACCTGCCACTGACAAGCTGGGTCCTTCCCCCCCTCCCAGCTGCAGAATTAATGGCTATCTGACCCAGAGGGGGCCAGTCCTCTGCACAGGGTGAGGGATTCACGGGAACGGTTCCTCATGGGAGTTCTTTCTGTGTTTTCTGCAGGGGGAGTTCCTCAACCTATGACAAATGGGTCAGCGCAAACACAGGTAAGTGGCGTTGAGCGCTGGGTGTTCTTCTTGAGGGGGGGGAGGCACTTTGGAAACCCTTCTGGCCTAGTCATTCTCTCCAGCCAGTGAGTTTGGGCATTTGGCCTCCCCTTCTCCCATTCCAGGGCCTGGGGATTTGGACCCTGAGGGTCACAAGTGATCAGTGGAAACTGATCCCGTATTGCTTTCCATCTCTAGACGCTTGATAGGGACTCTCTGGCCGTGGCTGATATTTGGCACTGGGCTAAGATCACAGCATTGTTGCCTTCGGGGTCTTCTAGTTCGGCCTCATAGCACCACTGAGTCATAATATTACACATCCGGCTTTGGCTTTGCACAATCAGTAAATCTAAGCCTAGCCTTTAAACTTTGCTTGATGACCTAGTATGATGTGTCAAGCCAGCCTGTAGTTGTTTGTTCAACAAACCATGGCTTGGTATGCAGTCCAAACCAGGCCTCTAAAAGAAGGCAAGGGCCTGTTTTTTTTTCTCTTTATCTGTCCAAAGTGTCTCTCCTTTCCAATTTCTTTTTTTTTTAATCAAGCAAGATGTCTACCTTCGCAAAGCCCTCCAGGTGCTTTCTCTAACCAATAAATGGTTTTTTTTTCCCACCCGGGGAGCCACCAGCCGTGTCTTGTGATAAACGTGCCCCCTTTTTTCCATCCCTCACAGCTGAATGGCGGATCCGTGTCTTCGTCCCACAGCGATTGCCAAAGTCCTGAGGAGGCCGAGGTAAAGAAGCAGCCTTTCTCCTCATCTGGGCCAAGGACTGATTTGCAAATCACCAAGATTTCATCCTTCTCATAGAATCCTAGGGCTGGAAGGGACCCTGGAGGTCATTTAGTCCAACCCCTGCCCAAGGCAGGATTCTCCTTATCCTCCACCTGCTGTCCCATGGTGGCTGGCCTGCTTTCCTCCAGAGGCCTTTCTTGGTCCTGTCCCTTTCTCCTTGTTTCTTCTTTATTAGTCTTTTTATCTTCTTGTCTTCTTTATTCTTCTTTATTAGTCATTCCAAACTCTTCCCGCCATGGGTAACTCTTCCTTCCAGCATCGCCTTTTAGCTTCTAGCCCTTTGCATGTCAACTTTTCCCCTCCAGCTTTTAGCCTTTTCTCCCCCCTTCTTTATTCCAAGCAGCTTATGAAGTTTTCCTCCTACTTTATGCCTTCCCCAGCCAGCATTTCACATCCTCTTCTGCCCACTCTAAGCCTTCCCTCCTCCCAGCTACCTAGGCGGTTCAACCTCTGCTGGCCCCACCCCAGAGATGGCCGCAGCCGAGCGGTCTTCCCTCCGGGATCCCCCAAAGGCTCCGCTGATCCACAGAGACGCAACGGAGGGGTAGGCCAGGTCAGCACGGGTTTTTTCCACCCTGCAGCAGGCAGGCTGCCCTCCCCCAGCCCTGGAATTAGCTCCCTTAATTGCATTCAAATGTGAAAGAAAATATTTCCATGCAACAGGCCGGTTATTTGCTCTTTCTGTAAGAGCAAGAATGTGGGGGGCTTGACAGAGTGGCTTTGATTAGGGAGGATCAGCTCAGGCGCTGGCGAGAGAGCAGCTGCATCCAACTCTGCATTCTTTCCACACTTGGGGGGCGGGGGGGGGGCAGCAGGGAAGAGGGAGGGGAGAGAGCTCTGCTGGGGGAGAGGGGCTGATTTCTCAGCAGCATCGGATGGGCCCTTTGGAGGGGATCCTGCCAGAGGGCTGAGGAAGGGAGTCGCTGCTGCCGTCCCTGTTTACAGATGGGAAGCATTTGGTGTCCGGGGCAACTCAGTGCCCTTCACCCACGTCTCCCGCAGGCTGCTCCGGGTGGCCCTTCCCCTCCCTCTCCTTCCCAGAGCTGAGAGAGGAGGGTAGCTACTCCCCACTGCCAGCCCTGAGTCACTCGGCTGCACAGGTAGTCCTTCACTTAGGACCACCTGGAGCCTGGAATTTTGGTTGTAATTCATTGCAGTCATAAACGGAGGCACCATGTGACCAGACTCGATTTTACGACCATTTTTACAAAGTCATAAAGTGAGTCATAGCAGTCATTAAGCAAATCACATGGTTGTTAAGCAAATCCAGCAGGGTGCTTTTTGCCATTCTGCTGGAAAATGGCAAAAAACGTTGTGAAATGCTGCAACCGGTTGTAAATGTGAGCCGGTTGCCAAGCACCTGAAAGGCAACCACCTGACCCTGCGGAGGAGGCAGCAATCCTAACGCTGAATGCAGGTTGTCAGCAGCTTTGAAAGGTTGCCCATCAACCAGTTGTAATTGGAGGACCACCTCTACTCGCAGCTGGCTCTGTTGGAAGTATTCCTCTGCTTTGTGTGTAGAAAGAGGCAGTGGGGAGTGCTGCCTTCTTGCAAATGAGTGGGCAGGGGGTGCTCTCTGGCCAGAGTGCCAGGAACTGGAGAGGGAAAGCAGGAAGCTGAGCTGGGGATGCCTTTCGGTCGGTCGGTCGGTCGTAGAGGGCTGGCTCTTAAACAGGAAGGGTTTGTAGTTTGTCAGCCCTCCAAGGTAGGGCAGATCAGGAAATCATAAAAGGATTACATGAAAGTTACTTTATTTTTGTGAAGTATAATTACAGGAGCTTGAAAGCTTGCCAGAGTTTCCCTCTGTCCCTCCTTGTAGCAGAGCGAATCAGGATGGGGTGTCTCCCTTTCCCCTTCGCTAGGACTCTATTTTCCTTGCTTGCTCCTGTCCGCCCCCTTCAGGGTTATCTCTGCACTTCTTTACATGGCTTGACATGGAAGCTTAGCAGGGGTGAGGCGGTGAGATGAGCTGCAGCCCCCCCCCCCCCCCCCGTTAGGGTGCAGGGACTGGGCGCCTTCCTCTTCCCCGAATGCACGGAGATGGAGGCTCTGGAGGGAGTTGCCGGAGGTGGGGAGAGAAAGGAGGGTGGGGCTGCAGTGTGAGCTCTGATCCACCTGCCACTAGAAGCTGTGGGCATGTGGTCCCCCCACAAACACTACCAATAGAACCACAGGGCAGGCGGCTGCTTTTCACTTACAAAGCCCAGCCTTCTTTTTGCTAAAAAGGAGGATGAAGTTCATCTCCTTCGCTCAGAATTGTCCCATCCAGCCACATCGTAGAGAAGACTATTATAGTTCCTCACTACTGCATGAAATTGGAAGTGGGGTGGGGTGTGGGCCTGCCAGGAAGGTGCTATGATGCTCCTGATATTATGGAACAGCCTTCTCAGGACCATGATATCTTCTGGACCATCTCTGAGAGTTGAGAGAGGGAGATATGGTGTTACCCTGGCTCTCCTCCTTCCTCTGGACTCATTCCAGTTGGTGGTGATGCAGGGGAGAGATTGAGACCACAGCCCTGGCACTGTGAGAGGCCTCAGGGCTGAACACTCCCCCCACACAGCATCTACATGGAGGTTCTCCAAGAAGCCATCAACAATATGCTGATGATACCCAGCTTTACATTTCTGCTCCTGGCTAACACCAAGTATTTCAGTAGATGGCCTATTTCAGCACTTGGAGAAGAAAGAACAGGCTTCAGTTGATCCCTAGCAAGACTAAGTGGCTTTGGGCTTTAGGGCGTCTGGATCCAAGAATTTGCCATTTCTTGTTCTGATGGAGCTACACTGCCACAAAACAGAACCAGTGCGCAACCTGGGGGTTCTCCTGGACTTGCAGCTCCTGTTTAGTAAAAAGGTGGCCAGGACTTTGTCTTGTATGCCAGTGGCATCATTTTCTAGACTGACATAATTACTCAGGTCTTAGTTGCCTCCCAACTAGATCACCGCAATGTGCTCTACATGAGGTTGCCCTCTTGAAGAACATTGAGAAACTTCAAAACTCTTCCAGGTTTTTTTTTAATGAGTTGGGGGAACATCACAGAAACATTTGTATTGCTGCAATTAGGTCGTTGCTTATAGGAAGCGACCAAAATTGGCTTTCAGAGCCTTTGATGTTGGTTTCCTGGCTGCTTATTAAAAGCAGTCTTTGAGATCCTTGCTTTTCTAACTGTCCAATTCCTACTCACACGCACATATACCATGGAGGATTCAAAGGGTTTATTGAGGCTTTCCAAGCTCTCCAAAAGTCTTCTCCAGGGAATCCCAGTCCAGCAACAAGGCAACCCCCAATGATTTCCTAGTTCAGTTCTGAAATGACTCCCACACGAATCCATGAAGCTGGAGCAATCCACAAGGCAAGGACAAAGTAGAAGCAAAACAAGGCACACCCACACCAAAGTCCACTATCAAGGTTCAAGGCAAAGGCCAATCTGAGAAGTAGGTTCAAGAATCAAGGCATGAGTCCACAGTCCAGGTCAGGAAGATCAACAAAAAAACTGTACAGGTATAGTATAGGGGGTACCTTGCTCAATAGTAGTAACTGTGAGAGGGACCTCGGAGTCCTAGTGGACAATCACTTAAATAGGAGCCAGCCGTGTGCTGCAGCTGCCAAAAAGGCCAACTCAGTGCTGGGCTGCATTAACAGAGGGATAGAATCAAGATCACGTGAAGTGTTAATACCACCTTACAATGCCTTGGAAGGCCACCCTTGGAATACTGCATCCAGTTTTGGTCACCACGATGTAAAAAAGATGCTGAGACTCTAGAAAGAGTACAGAGAAGAGCAACAAAGATGATTGGAGGCTAAAGCATATAAGGAAAGGCTGCTGGATTGGAGGCTAAAGCATGTAAGGAATGGCTGCTGGAATTGGGTATGTCTAGTTTAACGAAGAGAAGGACGAGGGGGGACATGATAGCAGTGTTCCAATATCTCAGGGGCTGCCCCAAAGAAGAGGGAGTCAAGCTATTCTCCAAAGCACCTGAGGGCAGGACAAGAAGCAACGGGTGGAAGCTAACCAAGGAGAGAAGCAACCTAGAACTAAGGAGAAACTTCCTGACAGTTAGAACAATTAACCAGTGGAACAACCCGCCTCCAGAGGTGGTGAATGCTCCAACACTGGAAGTTTTTAAGAAGAGACTGGACGGCCATTTGTCTGAAATGGTATAGGGTTTCCTGCCTGAGCAGGGGGTTGGACTAGATGACCTCCAAGGTCCCTTTCAACTTTATATTATTTTTTTATTATTATTATTATTATTATTATTATTATTATTATTATTATTATTATTATTATTATTATTATTATTATTATTATTACTAGGCACCAAAATGGATGTGTTGTTCCCAGTGTCATTCCTTCTTGCTGTGTTAAATACCCATCGCTTGGTGTAGCGCATCAAGAGGGACAAGGCTGCTTCCTCGCAAGTAACCGGGCTGACCACCGTTGCTCCTGCCTCTTCTCCGCTCTGCATACTCTCAGATCAAGCAGAGGAGGCAGTTCCTTCTCATCCAAGCTAGCTGGCTGCAGTTGCACACTCTCTCCTTCTGAGGCCTTGGGCTGTCCTGCTGCAGCTGTGTCTTGACCGTCTCACACACGGCCGGCTGCTCATATGGTTGCTCCCCCTGCAACCATTCCACCACGCTTGGTCTTGCTGATCCCAGCTCGGGACCACCTAGGGGCATGCTGCCACCTCTCCCCTCCATGGGGAATGGGACAACTTGCCACAGCAACTTGCCCTGTACTCACTATGGCCAACATGTCACAGCCAGCTCACCACGGGACAACTTGCTGCAGGACAATTCAACAATTTGATTTAATTATTTAAAATAATTTAAAAAATATTTTAATTTTTGTCATTCACATTTCATTTTCCTTTGGCATCCTTTATTTAATGATTCTATTCCACCATTTCTTCAGTATTAGTGTAACTCTTGTCCTGCGGCGAGTTGTCCAGTAGTGATTTGGCGATGGTGAGTTGTCGCACGGCGAGTTGGTGTGGAGAGTTGGCCATGGCATGTTGTCCTAGACCCCTCTGACGTGCCTGGGACCGGCTCATCCCCTTCCGAGCTGGCACCTGGAGAGGCATCTAGGGAAGCGTCCGAGGAGCGTCCGTCATCACACGAACAGTGATTCATCCAAGAAAAGTGCTAGACTCTCATCATCCTTATGAGCTGCTGACTACAATAGATCACAGTCTATTAAAATGCCTGAGCTTTAGTTTAGGTGAAGTACACTTGTTGTGGAAAACCACTGCCTTGTCTCAGCATATTGTGTGAACCTCATCATCACTTTAAGCCATCCTAGAGGTCAATTGGTTGCACAGTATGAACACAATTCTATTTTGTTAATTTGCTTTTGGGGTTAGGCGTATTGTGTGAATCCAGCCTCTGTCAAGTTCTGTTGGCAGCAACCTGCAAATGACTAAAAGAATATATTTACTGGTTATCCTCAGCTTATGTTGGCAATGGGGACCAGAGTTGCCATCACTAAGTGACTTGGTCACAGAGTATGACATCACGTGACCACGCCACTTGGAAAGAGCAAGTCTGGCCGTTGTGATAAAATGAGAGTTTGCAACTTCTGACTTCCTGCTGGCTTCCCCATTGACTTTGCTTTTGGGAAGCTGGCAAGGAACAACACAAACTGTAACCATGGGACCGCAGGGGCACTGCAATGGCCCAAACTCAGAGGATGGTCATAAGTCCCCCTCCTTCAGCATTGTTTGAATGGTCATTGAATGACTGACAAGGAACTCCATATTTTTTCTTCTTCTAAGACTCGAAACTGTACTTTTTCCCACTCCAGAAGCAAGATGTTCAGGTGACTAATTTCCACCCCAACTTATTTTTGCAGCCTTGTCTTGGTCTTGTAAGTCACGCAAAGCTTGGGCTGGGATTTCAGAACCTGTCAAAATAGTTTGAAGCAGTGCAGCAGTTTAGCCAAAGAGCTGCCCCCTGTTAAACCTCTTGGTTTCCTCCTAGGAAAGAGAGCTGAAAAAGAAAGACCCCTTTGAAGAAAGCGGGCTGAACCTGAGTCCCACCGCAGCGGAAGCCAAAGAGAGAGTGCGTGCCAAGCGGGTGAACAAGAGGGCGCCTCAGATGGACTGGAACAAGAAGCGGGAGATCTTCAGCAATTTCTGAGCCCATTGAGGGTCCCCGTTTCCCTTCCGGCTCCTCCTGCAAGGAGACATTTGCAAGGTGCACAAATTGTGTCCCACCCTGACGGACAGGGCCGCAACGCACTCCATGCTCCACATTTTTCCACAAGCAAGGCGGTTTCTCTCTGATTGCGCCAAGAGGTCTGAGAGCAAATCTGAGGGAAGGGGAAGGCGAAGAAGGTGGGAGGGGGAGAGAAACCTCTTGCAGTTTGTATTAATTAGGGATCATTTAACTGGCAATATTAGAATATATTATTTATAGGACCATTTTTATATAAGGAATTGTTTGAGTTGCTTTTCTTCCCCATTTCTGTTTAGATATTTTAAAATATTTTTACATTCCAAATCAGCACCTTTCCATTTAGCTGAAAGCTGCAGCTTCTGCCACTATGGACTGCAGTGTTAACAACTTCAGAAATGGATTCGCTAACTATTCCTTGATCGTGACCCTTTCAGTTCTAAGTTTGGAGTTTATTTTTTCAGTATTTTATCTTCAGTACTTTTATTTTTCTTCCAGTACTTTATTCAGCTAGCACTTGAAATCCCCTTGTTTTTAGCTTAGCAGATCCTTTTCTTTCCAGTCCTTCTTCAGGCTCATAACGTAGCAAGTACAAGGCTGTAATCTGAACTCATTTTCATTATAAGAGAGTTGCTCAATAACGAGATGGGTGGCCACTCATGTAATAAGTCAAAAAAATAAAATACACTTTTTAGTGAGACTTGAGAGACTTATGAGAAAAAGGTTCCTTTGAGAATGAAGTTCTTGCTGGTAAGCAAGAAACATCTCAAGGTGAATTTCATCTTTATTATTTTGAGGGCATTAAAAAAACTTCCAAAGCTTTAATTTTGCTGCTCTTTCAGTAGCTGTGAGGCAGCCAGGCAGCCAGCCAGCCTCTCTTTCAGCTTGCAACCTAAAATAGATGCCTTTTTTCTGTCCCTGAGATGTTGACTGGGCTTGGTCTCAGGAGGGACTAATCTTCACACAGGTGGTAAACATGATTGTGAATTTGGTGCAATGCTCTCTAGCTCTTACACAGTTGCTCTTGGGGAAAGTGTGAATGCGAGATGCCAGCGTGTCTGCAGCTCCCCGAAGATTGTGGCACATCTGCTCCAGAGCTGTCTGTTGGTGCCTAGCTAGGTTAAGGCTCAAAATCCAGGGACAGCGTGCAGTGAGGGCTTCCTGCTGCAACTCTGTGAGTAAATCTGGTGGTCATTGGCCACTGACCGTTCTAAGGGGGCAAGGGAAGGGAACACACAGAGAAACGACTCTTACATGTAAGCCCTTTAGGCAATGAGTATGGGAAATTTCTGCTGCATATGCCACTGTGCCTTGGACCCAGGTTGGGAGAGAGCAGGCAAATTTGGGATTTCCCACCAAATCGATTCTCTTTTGGTGGGAATGTGGTTTCTAGTGTTTTTGAACAGCGTAAAACCAAGGCAAATATTTCCGAGTAATTTCTGCAGCAATCTCTTGCCCATAAAAATGCCACTAAGAGTTCTGGATACAAAGTGGAGGTCACTCCCAACATTTCGGTGATGCCACAGAGACCTCCAGATGAGCTACCAGATTGGAATTATAAATTTGGCAGGAGAGATATGTGGCAACTCAGAAATAATCTTAACCATATACAGTCTTCATTAAACCTAAATAGAAATCTAATTGAGTTGATGAATGAGCCCTACCCTCCCTCATTTTGGGGGGCAGCCTCTTAGAGGCCGAGGGTGGTCTTTGGCATGGAAAAAAACGTCCACCAGAGAACAGCTCCCTCGGCAGGAAGGGGCGGGCGGAGCAGCTTTGCCAACGAGGTCAAAGGCTGTTTGGGAAGGAAAAGGCAGGGAGGGGTCTCCGGGCCTCCCCTAGGAAAAGGAACCACCTTTTTTCTTTTTCTAAAAAGTTTTTTTTTAAAAGCTGGGATGCAGTTTTTCTTTCTTTTTTAAAAAAGCAGAGGGCGCCACAACAAGGAATTGCCTTTTAATGATGGCAGAGATTAAATATTGCTCTACTGGGGTGTCCACCAGGGAAGGCCCCAAAACTCCCGATGGTGGCTGCAGGGGTGCAATCAAAGCCCTGCCTTTTGTGTGTACAAACTGTCCCCCACCCAGCGCTCCTGAAGGAGGGGGGGGAGAGTGATGTTTTTGCATGTTATAAACAAACAAATTTGGGGCTTTTTGAATATTTTGTAAATGGTTGAGTTGAAGATGGGTTAGTTCATTCTCCCTTTGAAAAAAAGGCAGTGGTTGTAGTAAAGCAATTGTAGCATTTCTTACTAGAGGGTCCTTTTGTTCAGGCACTGCCTGGGTTGACCGAAAGGCTCTTAAGAGGTGGGGGCAACACCAAGGGCTGTGATGCTCTGAAGAGGCTTCAGATACGTGATGCATGTGTACCCATCAAGCCAGGCTCCAATGCCTAATTTTGCCCCTGGCAGCTGGGCTCCAGCCACAGGATCTCTGGGAGGAAAAAGATTCGTGTTGCAAGAGAATCAAATTCCAGATTTGGTTCTCCTGTTAAAGAAACCAGGAAGCTTCCAGTGAGACCTTGATAGGGTGGGGCAGATCATCAGTTGCAATTCACCCTTTCTTGCTTTCCTTCCAGTGAATCTGATTGTAGAAGATGCTATTGTTTTTGAAAGGACAAAAGCCGTGGGTGGTAGCCGTGGTCTTCTCAACAGAAGTCCAGGTTCCCTGGAACTTTGTTTTGGGGTTTTGTAGAAATGGGGTGTTCGGGTGCCAGGTGGAGAGAGGAAAGTCTTGGCGGTAGTCCCGTCCACCCTTTTGGTCCGGTAGGTGCCTGCCAGTTAGGCAGCAGGCAATGTGTCATTTTTGAAGTTTATGTCTCCAGCTTGTACACCTTGGGGCTCTCCAAAGGTGTTGGGGGTAGAGTGTCCTTAATGCCGTATTGGTTGAGAATGATGAGTAGTGCATTTCTGCTTATCTGTGGAAGTCCCAATTTGGGAAAGATCAAGCAATTTAACAAAGTTAAAAAACTAAGTTTCAGATTATTGATTCCATTAATCTTTGGCTTCACATTGTCCATGCAGGATGCCAAGAATTGATACAGATCACAGAAACTGCCTCCTTGAACATCACTATTATAGTGGTTTTTTTAAAAAAGACGTTCAGAAGTGCCCACTGAGTATTTTTCAAGAAGTCAAGATGACAGCAAAAGCTCCAGCCCTTTTTATGGGTGACATATGGGAGGGAGATGTTACTATAGTTTTCACTTTCTCCATGATGATCCACCACCACATTCCAAATTATTTTAATAGCTGTCCTGCTGTAGGTGATTAAAGGGCAGAGGCATCAAAATGTGCAAAGATAATGTGGTTGATGCAAGGCTACAGAAATGGAAATTCCACCCCCTTCCAGTTAATGGTTGTCGGAGTCCCCCTCTGGCTCTGCTTGGCTTTATGCTCGGCTATCCCCAGCGAGTTGGTGGGCTCAGAGCACCAGGTTTGGAGATGCCCAGCTGATCTCAGGGCAGACTTGCTCTTTCTTGGGGGGGGGATTGGAGCTGGAGACATTGATGGGGGCTAAGGTGGAAAAGGCACTTTCTTGGGGAGGTGTGAATTTTTAAAAGGTGTGGGGAGACCCATATTAAGGTTAAAAATCTTAAGGTGGATCTTATGGTTTGCGTTGAAAGTGTGTTTTTTTGTCACCTTTTTTGCTTTGTCATCAGAACTGCTTGTTTTTTGGCAGAGGTCTCCAACCTTTTGAGCACTGGGGAGCGGTCCCGTGGAGGTTTTTCCATGGACCGGAGGGGGCCTGGTTTTGTGTGCTGCCTGCATCCCGCGGATGGGGCTTTGCTTGTTTGCGTGGACCGGTTTCTGGCATGCCAGGGGTTGGGGACCCGTTTTATGGAACTGTTTTCACATTAGAGGCGTCGGGGCAAAAGGCAGGCACCAGCACTGTGGCATTTTGCTCCAGAGGACAGGTGTGCAGGTGCAGACCCAAGAAAGGGCTTTGTTAGGTTTTCAAGACTGAAGGCTGTCTGGACGGTGGGTGGGACGAAGGCCCCCCAGGGAGCCCAGCGATCGCCCCGACTTCCCCCTGCTTCATGGAATGATGCTGGTGGATAAAAGCACACGCTTTCTTCTTTTTCTGCCATCCTGCCAGCTCTGTAACTTGATTTCTGCACATTAATTCTCTCTCACACACACACAAAAACTGACAAAAGAGCTCTTTTAACTGCATTGTATTTTAAAAAGTATACTACAATGTCAATAATAAAACTGTTTCCTCATGGACAGCAAGCTTTGCTGTGTTCGTGTCTGTACTGTTTTCTATTTTTGTCCCTTCCTGAACTTGCCTTGCAAACACATTTTCCAACAAAGCTCAAGATTCACAGCATCACAGACGTCCTTCCTTGTCTGCTCCTGTCCTTGACCACAGGGGGCACTGATGTCGGCCAGACAAGATGGCAGCCGCCACGGTGGGATCGAAGCCCCGCCCCCTTTTGTGTTGCATCCACGGCACAGGTAATTTAATTTAATTGCGTCTTGACCCCACCCCATGAACATCTTTGCGGCCACCCTCAGAGGCTAACGTTACTCAATTTTAGTTTTCAATGTAGCACAAGAAAATGTTTAAGCAAATAAGCAGTATCACTTGTATTCGTTGCTAATGAACTAATGTAAATGATATCAAACAAAACTTAGTTTGGGTCCAGATTTACCTTTTTGTGCAGGAAGAGTCATCGGCCAACCTTGCTGCTCAAAGACCAAAGGTGCCCCTTCTCTGCTGGGAAATAACAACAGACCATTTTGCTTGTTTTAAAGTGTGAAAATTTAGCCATCCCAATTCATATTTAGGATCCTGTTCTGTCCATTCAGCTATTGGTGTAGGGTGTGACTGCATCAAAGCCTCCCTGCGTCCCCCACTGAGACACGGCCTCGTGCCCAGCCCTTTCCTTTTGAAATCAGACTTCAACACCCAGCAGCTTCTCCTCAGAAGAACGGGCGTGGCTGCTTCCAAGCCTGAGCCACCTTGGTGAGAGCTCCCGAGGCCACACATCTGACCAGATGACTGAGCTGGAGAAGGCCTTTGCTGGCATCAAGCGAGGAGCATTTGAAATGCAAATTCCAGGCAGGTAGAAGGTGAGTTTCTCTGGTAGGAGACGGAGAAACCCAACCTCTGCAACCTGCAGCCACCTCAATGGGATTCTGCTGGGTTCCTTCTGTTAGGACCTACATCCCCTCTGCTTCAGGTGTTGGGGCACTTCCCCTTCCTCCAATCCCCCCCCCCCAATGTTGAGTTGGGCTGGATGAGACTGGCCAGGACACCTAGCAATTCTCCATGGCCCTGGCTTTGAACAGAGGCCCCTCTGATCCTAGTTCAACCATGAGACCCCCTTGTTGGTAGAGTTGCGTCACCACCAGTCAAGAGCAGAGCGAACACAACAAGCATGCTAAGTTGATCTCTTAACTGCCATCACACCCTTAATCTTTGTTGCCTGCTTGAGTTGGCTTTTGGGCAAGATGCCGACTTGGCAGTTCCCAGCATCTCTCACAATTACAACGACCTCTTGTGACCCTTCCAACTCTTATGATTCTATTGATCATTTACTGGGGATGGTGTAGTGAATCCTGCAGTTTGCAGAGCATTTGTCTTGATGACCTCTTGGGTCCCTTCCAACTCCTATGATTCTATTCATCATCAGCCAGGGGGAGGGTTGGAAGCCCAGGGGGCTGCAGTTCTGCCATGGGCTGGCTCCTCCAGTGGTCTGGGCTGCGCCAGTTTTGCCTGCTTTGGGCACCCTTCCCTGAAACGACTGCCTGGCCGTCCCCGTTGTCCCAATTTGTCCCTCTCCAGTATTGCCCTGTGGCTGTTGCTGCTTCAAACATTCCGCAGGATGGTTTATTTTCATTTCATTTCGAGAGATTTTGTTCCTTAAGCAAGGAAACCAGCTATAAATATCTAGTATAATGTAAATATAAACAAACACCTTGAAGGCCCTTGGGTTGCCTGCTCTAGATCCATGCAGTCATTCCTTCTCCTTCCAGATACCCCTCTTGAATGAAGTCAGCCTCCCACATACTTTATTTATTAGAAGTGCTTGCTGGGCAGAGTCAGTCCTTCCTGGGTAGCAGCCTTTTCATGGAGACTTGAGAGGCAGCGTGAAATCCCGGTCCCGCCCTCCTGCGCTGACAGATGGAGGACAGGAAGAGCTCCTGGGGGCTGTTCATCACCAGACCCCCTCCTTGCCCAAGGAGGCACTGCAGTCTCAGCCGGGCGGAAAACAGCTTCTTCTCCCAACCAAACAACGGAAGCTCCGAGACAGAGAGGCGGGGGGGGGGGGGGGGGGGGCTGTTCCTCAGTGTTTCATGGATCCGGGGCAGATGTTTCTGTTGAGGCACTCGCTGCAATGTGGACGGACAGGCAAGCAGATCTGCTGCCCGAAGCCAACCAGGAGCCAATTTATCTCACTCCAGAGAGTCCTACAGATGGTGGAGCAGGGAGAGGGGAAAAAAACATTTCAATGTGGTAGAAAAAATAACACAACATCAACATTCAGCGATGCTTGAAGCAGCCCACTCTCACAATTCCCAACCTTTGAGACCAAGGGAACATCAATATCAGGAAGTAACTACAATTCTGGAGCATCAGGCAATAGAGGTGAGGTGGTACCCGACACTGGGGAGACTAAAGGGAAGTGAGATTGCCACCACGCCCCACTGATCAAAGTGCAACCACAGAGGCTGCTCCCTGCCCCAGAACTCTCCCCTTTGTCCTGGGCTGGAGGAGCCACCTTCCATGCTTAGTCTCCAAGAAGGCCAACAAGGCAAGAAAGACGAGTCTGGAGCTGGTCTTTGGCTTGTGTTGGCTGGTGCACTGATGTCTGCTCACACTATGGTGATGGGAGAAAGAATGCCTTGGCTGAAATCCTACAACTGAGAGAAATTTCCTACAGGAGAACACTCAAATTCTCCTCTTGTAGGTCAAAGGTCAACCCTTTGTTGCAACCCTGAAATAAATGGGAAGATGGGCCTTGCCGGTGGTTTCCGGCCCTCTTTCCAAGTGTGAAGGTGTGCCTGTGCCATTGGAAGGAGCAGCACTGCTGACAGACACCTGTGGACCGCAGACCTCTAAGACAAGCGTTTTCCAGCCTGCATTTCAGAGAATGGGAATGAGGGCCGCTTTGGCAATGTGGTTACAGCACTAGACTGGAAACTGAGAAGGCACAAATTCTAGCCCCATCTCTAGCACAAAGCCTTCCTTATAAAGAACAAGGTGGTGGTGGTGGTGGTGGAAACCCACTTCTGAAAACATTGGCAGGAAAGCTGCAGGGATTCACCAGGAGCCAAGCCGGACTCAAAGCCCTTCCCCCATTTTCTGCAGAGAAACCTGAGCTTTTCCAAGGTGGATCCCAGTTCCAGAGAGGAAAATGTGATGAGCCTTGAAAAACAGAAAACCCCCCCCCCTTAAACAGGCAAACTGGAAGGAAAGGTCAACTGGCGACCAGTTTTGAAGCCCTTTTGCCTGCATCCAATCCGCTTAATAAGGAGTGGTATTGTGGGAGGAGTGATCTCACACTGAGACTAAGACAGAGGGAGAGAAGTGAAATATTTAGATCACCTGGGCAGCCATTCTTCCAGAGCTTGCCTCGTTTCCTCTGGAAGTTTTGTTTCCTTTTTTGCCCACTTTAACCTGTTGCAAATCCGATGCACGTGTGTGTCCACACCTGTAGTTCAAAATCAGAAAGGGGGAGTTATCCTAAACAAGGCCTGGGGGAAGCCCTCTCCTGCTGCCATCAGATGCACCCCATGCTCCTTGAATGATGGCTCCTCTCCTCCTTGGGAGGACAGTTGCAGCCGAGTCAATCAAGTGAGATTGCAAGCTGGCATTTTGTTTAACTTTAGAGAAAGCTCTGTCAGAGAGGTTTGGCCCGCAGAAGGACATCTCTGAATGGAGATAATGGATTTACGGGAGAGTTTGAGACATCTGTCAAGGGTTCGGTTTCCTAGAGGGCTGGGTCAGATGATCCCACCACCCTATAGTTCTATCTGATTCTTCTCCCTCTCGTGAACAAACCTGGAGTCACAGGCTGAAGGTCTAGATCAGCCAAGTGCTACCTAGAGCTGCTGCAGTAAGAAGGCGGTGGAGAAACAAGTGGAAACCTGGTGACTGCTCATCTTGCTGATGTCCAGGCCAAGACCCCAAGCTTCCCTCGCCATGACTGGCGGCCACTGAAGGAGGAGAACATTAGTGGCCCGGATAGGAAAGGCTCCAAAAATGTTCTTCCTTCTGGGGCTCCCAGGGAGCTGTAGCAGGACTGTCCATGGCATATTAATCACCAGTAGGAAAGAAATCGAACTGGACACTCGGCAGGACCCTTGCCAACATCTCTGCTGACCTACTTAATGGCCGCTTTGCCCCCACAACTGCTTCTCCACTCCTCTCACAGCCGACCCCGCTTCCCCCCCCCAGTGCCAGCCCTCCCGCATCTGCATCCAGGGAAGATGAGCAGGAAGAAGGCACCGCAGCGCCCCCTGCTGTTCCAGGATTCTGTCCTGTGGCAGAGCAACTTCCAGATCCATCCCACTTTATTTATTCCCCACTCAAATTTGGGCTGGCTAAGAAAGTGGCTGGCAGGCAGCTCATCGCTTTCCTTGGACAACATGCCAGCCCACTGAAAGAGGCCCCATCACCTCAGAAGTGACGGTCCCACCTCTCCAGAGTTTCTCCTCCCATGAGGAACCGTAAGCACCATGAAGCAGTATAAAAGCCTACGTGCTCTTGCTGGTCTAGGTTATCTCACGTGCACAACCCGACCCCAGTTCAGGCCATACTCTGGCTCTGACCCTGCAGGCATTTCAGAAAACTTTCAAAAACACGGCTGTTTTCCTAGGGGGGGGGAGTGAAGCTCATGAGATAGATGTGATTGGTAGGGACAGTTCTTGTCCTTGGCTCCCATTAGATGCACACAGTATCTGTTATTATTGTGACTGATTGTACTGAGTTTTAATTTAATGGGGGCTGCCCAGGGACAGTTTCAAGAACAGGGTCACATAAATTGACTGAAACACAGGTAATTCTCAATACCACAATGGAGTCTGCCCATTGTCTTCAAAGTTGTGATGGTCATAAATCAGGTCACCCAGATGATTAACTCAATTTTATGATGTTTTTGTGGCAGTCATTAAGCAAATGCTGTGGTTTTAAAGCTGCAAATGGCCATAAATGCAGGGCAACTGCTGAGGGATTGACGTGCAGTCCTGTGATGGGGGAGAGGCGCAATGGCTGTCATAGCTTCAGAACAGAATCTTAAGCACCCAAGGGGTGTGTGTGTGTAACTATGAATGATTGCTAAGTGACTGGTCATAAACTGAGGACCACTTATGAATGAATGAATGAATGAATGAATCTGAACTCTGAAGTTCAGGCAATCCAGATGTAAATATGACAACTGAACAGGAATTGGAAGAGGAAGGATTGGAAGAAACATTAGTGAATATGAATTGGATACATAGCAGGGATTGTTAAACAACCTAAATGTCCAAGACTGAGATAGCTGGATGCTTGTTCCCACAAAAGACACAGAAGCAAATCCACTCTGCAAGAGACATACCGATTCCCGAGGATTTCTTCCAGGCAATGTCCATCACCAGGTGGGCCATCTTCGGACCGACCCCAGGCAACTTCACCAACTCGGCCACAGTTGGTGGGATGTCGCCAGCATAGTCCCGCTTCAGGATTGCTGTAGTTTGCTGGACATATCGCGCCTTGTTCTGCAGCCCACGAAAATGTAAATTCACTGAGCTGGGCTGACCAGGGCCAATCTGACTCCGCATTTTCTTTCTTTTTTCCTATTGTGTCCTAACCAGCTGGCCCCAAGGGAACCTGGTGCTTGCAACCCAACTCCCCCCCCCCTATTTTTTCTCTCTCCTACCACTGTTCCCCTTCAAACAGTATTTGGAGACAGCTGCCCAGAAGTAACACCGAAGCTTCAAGACCACAACCCCCCATAGACCTGACCTGCATCCTCTAAACCAGTGGTGTCAAACTGCCGGCCCGCAAGCCGGTTTCATCATACCGAAGCTGCGCCCACCCCATTGCCGGCAATGCAAAAAGAGTCGCGATACGCTGCGACACGTCACATACATTGCAAGCTTGACACCTGTGCTCTAAACCCTTTGAAAAGCTATCCAGGTTATAGTGCCTACTTTGCCATCTTAAACACATCGGAACAGCTCTGCGGGATTAGGCCAAGGCCCATCTTGGTCCAAAATTTTGTTTCTTGCAGTGGCCAAACAGATGACCTGGGGGCTCACAAACAAGAAATGAAAACTACCACTCTGTCTGCAAGTTGTGTTCTCCAAGAGATACTTGGGAGGCATTTGCTTCCAACCCAGAGGCAATTTTCCTGCCTTCAAGACCAGCAGCCCTGCAAAGACTATCCTTCTCCATTCTTTATCCAATCTGCCTTAGAGCCATCCAGGCAGGTGGTCACCATCACATTAGGGCAATGAATTTCACAGATTCACAATGTGCCATAGCACTTAAAGCCCAACAGTGCTTTACAGCCCTCTCTAAGCAGTTTACAGAGTCAGCCTGTGGCCCCCAACAATCTGGGCCCTCATTTTACCAATCTTGGAAGGACGGAAGGCTGAGTCAACCTTGAGCCGGTCAGGATCAAACTCCCAGCTGTGGACAGAGTCAGCCTGCAATGCTGCATTCTAACCCCTGCGCCACCACCATGTGGAGAGATGCTTCCTTTTATCTGTCCTAAACTGCCTTCCTTCCATGTTCTATGAGTGCAGTGACCATAAACTCTTTATTTATATTATAAAGCTTTTTTCAGAAATCTGTCCTTTATTTTCCAAAAATTCAATTGCTTTACTTTAGTCATTTAACATTTACCATACAAATGGTACCACTTAAAATTTTTACATCATTTTTACATTTTTAGTCTATATTAATGTGAAATTGAACTCTTTTAAAAATAAATTTATATAACAATAGCACTTAGACTTATATACCTCTTCAGAGTGCTTTACAGCCCTCTCTAAGCGGTTTACAGAGTCAGCCTGTTGCCCCCAACAATCTGGGTCCTCATTTTACCAACCTCGGAAGGATGGAAGGCTGAGTCAACCTGGAGCTGCTCAGAATCCAACTCCTGGAGTGAGCAGTGAGTTAAGCCTGCAGTACTGCATTCTCATCACTGCGCCACCATGGCTCTTATATATACCTTTTATTTTATTTTAGATACTTTTATTGGAATATGTTTTTGTAGAATTTTTGATTTTGCTCTTGAATTTTCCTTTGTAAAGCACAGTTATAAATGCAAAAGAATTAATTTTTGTTATACTTATGAACCTCTTTCAGATTTGCCCCTTTTCCAGGGCTGTCCTTTATTTTTTCTAAGAAAACACATATCTATAGGTAACCCTGGACCTAACGTTTGGAGGAGGAGGAGGAGTATTTCTTCATGCCACACACAGAGCTGGGCCAGGGAGTCAAAGGGATGCTGAAGGGGACAGAGAAGCAGACCCTCCACCTTCTGCCAGCAGGGTCTCCTTGCCACACTGGGAGGTGCAGAGTAGCCTTTCCTAATTGACAGGAAGTTACTTTGGCTGCTCTGTGCAGGCAGAAGATGGAACAAACTAATGCACTGATGATGCTACGTGGTTTGGTAATGGATATGGTAACGGCCACATTCACACACAATTGGCCACAGCCATTTTGGCAAAGCTGCTAAGACGGATTGTGGCTTGGGAAGCTCCATGGGGGCTTTGAGCCCAGTCCTCTCTGTCCAACCAGCCTACCTCACAGGGTTGGGATGGGGTGAATGGGTGGCAGAGGTGCTCCCATGGAAGACAGAGAGTATATTAACCTGCAAATTAGCCCTGCTTCCCCAGCTCTTCCCCTTCAGGTGGAAAATCACTCACCCTCCAAAAGCCGACGGGGTAAATGAGCCGGCCCAGCGCCTCCTCGTCAGTCTCCAGGATCCGGTCCACCGTCAGGCCATGCTTCCGCAGACGCATCATGGCCGCGAAGGTCACCTGGTCTCTCGTCTGGCTGGAGAGCATGAGCGACAGCAGAATCTGGTAGCGCTTCACCTGCCAAGCAGAAGGGAGAGAGGCAGAGGGGATCCTGTTTCTGGCTGGCCCGGGACCCTCTAGGCCAGTGATGGCGAACCTTTTAGAGACCGAGTGCCCAAACTGCAACCCAAAACCCACTTATGCATCGTCGGGTGCCGGATGGGTGTGACCCATTGGCTGGGCGTGGCTGCGGTGGTAACGGCAGACTGGGTGGGACTAAAAAGTTCAATCAATCAATTCCAACTTTGCAAGATTTTTTTTTCCCCGCAAGAAGTTGAAATTGACTGATTGAACCTTTTTTTTTTGCACACGGCGGTGGAGGCCTAAAGCGAAAAGGTTTTATAAAACCCAGCTGAAGGCCTACGACTGGGGCGATGGCATGCGTGCCCACAGAGAGGGCTCTGAGTGCTGCCTCTGGCACCCGTGCCATAGATTCGCCAACACTGCTCTAGGCCCTCCTCGGCCTCCTGGCTGCCCCACTCACCTCTGGAGGGGCCTCCCTATCAAAGCATGCCCTGGCTCCCATCTGGTCGACCGGGGCATCCCTCTCCCTCCGCATCTCCTGGATGTTGGCCAGCTGCTGCTCCCAGTTGGCCGGTTCCCATTTCTGTTTTTTGGGTTCGGGGGCCTCTGCTGCCCCATTTCCCTCTGTAGGCTCATAGGCAATGCCAACTTTCCTTCCCCTCTGGAGATTTCTTGTGCAGGTCTCTGTTGGTGCTGTGACGCATAATGGAACACACACACACACACACAAATAAGCAACAGGAGACTCAGAAAAGCTCTTGGTTCATTTCATCCAGTGCTACAAGATAGGAAGAAATGTTCAAACTCGATCCAAGGAAAGAGAAGATTGAGAAGAAATATCCTAAGGCAAACACGAGGGTAGCAACTGGGAAGCAGGCTGCTGCGGCTGCGATCCCCTCCCTCTCTCCCACGTTCCTCCCTCATTCTTGAAGGCTCTGGGCAGCTCACAAGGAAAAACTTGCACCAAAGCTTGTTCTTGACTCTTTTCCATAATCAGCCAATTCTTCTTCAACAATTTTCTTGACAAAATAAATCTCTGCATCCATTTCTTGCAAGGCAGGCCTAATGCATCAATATCACTAAGGAGAGGTGATAGTCGCTGGTTTTCTTGTTTTTTGGTCCAAATTGCCCAGTTTGGCTTATGTCTAGTTAATGATTGTAACTGCATATTATATCACAGATATGGGCTTTGCTATTTCTGCCATTGATGATTCTGCTGTATTTCCACCATCCCAGTTTGTTTTTAGCACTTTTCTCACTCCTTGGATGCATTCCTTACTAGTCACATTTGGGCCCAGTCTATGTTGATGTAATCCAGCTGTAAAACGCCTAATACTTGTAAGCTTCATCCTGATGGCTCCTGATCCTTTGGCTATTCAGTGTTTCAATTCTATTACTGGACGTGATTTTACCCCAATCCACCATATTTCTCTAGACCAAATTCCATTGTTATCATCTCCTCTCAAAATTCTGACAGTATTTGTCAGTGATTGGATTTTTATTTATTTGCATCCTGCCTTTATTATTTTTACCAATAGCTCAAGTGGCCAGCACACCTAATCCTATTTTCCCCACAACAACCCTGTGAGGCAGGCTGGGCAGAGAGCAATTGGCCCAGAGTCATCCAGCCGGGTGTTTTGTTGCCAAAGGCAGGGAGGAAAAAGGCAAAGGGCTGCTGCCAGGGACCCTGAGGGGAGGGCCAGGCCCAAGCAGAAGGAAGGAAGCGCCTCGGCTGCCCAGTCCGTCCCCTCCAGAGATCGGGTTGCTGCCAATTAAGGTCGAACGGCCAGTTCTGCGCCTGGGAAACGACCTGAAAGCCTGGCTGGTTGGTGGGGGGGCAGTTCCGTTGCGCCGGCCTCCTGGGGCCCCTTCCCGGACGGCGCCCCGAAGCCAGCCCGCCAGCCGGCCTTCATCCGCCCCCCGAGGGCAGCCAGCGCTTCTCCAGGCGGCCGAGCGCCGGAGCCCCGCCGGGGTCGCCACCAACCACTCGGGGTCCCAACCTGGTCCGAAGGGGGCGGGCAGCGAGGCCCTCTAGCCCGCCGCTCACTCCCCGAGCCCGGCTCGGGGACACACGAGCGCCCCGCTTGCGAGCCCCGCGCCGCCCACGCGCCCCGCTCTCCCCGGAAGGCGCCTCACCTCGGGCCCCGCTCGGCCGCCGCCGGGTTGGGAAGCTGCGCCCCGCGCACATGGCCCCGCCCCACCGGGACCACAACCCCCACAATGCCCCGCGGGGAGACCCGCCTCCTCCCGCCGTCGCGTGAGCTCCACACCGGAAGCTCAGCGGCCCTTCCGCTTGCGGGGGGGGCAGGGAGGGGGCGGGGCAGCGGCGGGGGGGCGGAGGTGTTTACGCGCTTTGGGGTCGGAGCTCGGTAAGTCGGCGGCGCCCGGGCGGGGCTGCTCCGCGGGGCTGTTGTGCGAGGCAGCCGCGGAAGCGCGCGCGGGGGGGGCATCGTGGCCTCTCGGCTCCGGCAGGCAAGCAGGGCGGCCCGGGCCGGCCGCGGGAGCGCCTGGAGCAAAGGCCGGGGCCGGCCGGAGTCGGGCAGCCGCGGAGCCGGTCGGTCCTTGGGCTCGCTTGGCCAATCGGGCTCCGACCGTGCAGCTCCCGGAGGAGGAGGAGGCGGAGGCGGAGGATGGGAAGGTCGCCGCGCTTCGCCTCCGTTAACCTCGGGCGGCTCTGAACGAAGCGAAGGCAGAGCCCGTTCGGAGCTGAAAGCCGGCCGCTGGTTCCTTCGGCCCGTTCGGAGCCTCCCGAGCGGCAGCCGGGCCCAGCTCGCCTGCAGGAGACGGCGGGCGGGCGGGCGGGCGGGCTCCGTCGTGGGGCTGGTCCCCGGCCAGGGGGCGAGAGGGGCCTCCGGGGAAGCCGCTCCGGCGGACCCTTTGGCCTCCAAGAGCCCCGGCGGGCGAAGCGAGGCCCGCCCCGGGCGGAGGCTGCGTCGCAGTGGGGAGAAGGTGGTCCGGCCGCCCGCCGTGGAAGCGGGAGCCGGTGAGGCCTCCCGGAGCGTCGCCAGCAGCCCCCAAAGCCACCCGGGAAATGGTTCGGGGACTCGAGAGCCGGCTTGGCCGAGCGACCGAGGCACCGGGCTGGAAGTCGGGCGATGGGGGTTCTAGTCCTGCCGGGGGGGGGGCGGCTGGTTGTGGGGAGGAAGGCGGGTGGCAGGAGCGTTAAGCTCTTCCCCGCTTACCTGCAGGGTGACGAAGGGGGGATACAAATCGAATGCTGGGCAACCAGGTCGAGCCGAGGGGGCCTCGTGCCGACCCCATCAGCCGGAGAGAGTCGGCGGGCAGGGAGCAGGAGAGGCGCTTTCCCCCGTGGAGACGGGCAGGGCCCCAACCCTGTTGGCCTTTCACAAGGCCCCGAACACCTGGCTGTGCCCGGGATGCTGAATGGGCTAAGGGCCCTGTCTGCTGCACCGCATAAGAAAACCGCAGCTCATTGAAGCATAGCTTGATTAGGGAAAAGGTGACAGGGTAAAAATTAGGAGGCATGTTCAATTCAATTCAATTTATTTGATTTATATACCGCCCTTCTCCCTTGCGGGACTCAGGGCGGTGAACAGGCACATTAATAAAACAGCGATACCATAATATTTAAAATATTAAAAACTAATTAAATTATTTGTCCTGTCCTAAAACCCACTATAATAATATAAAATTATACCCAATTTAAAATTTTAGAATTTCGGATTTATGCCAGACCGGCCTCTTGGAACAGATAGGTCTTTAGGGCTCGGCGGAAGAGGCGTATGTCCCCCATTGTACGGAGGTCAGGGGGCAGCTCATTCCATAGGG